ATCCTTCCGACGAAAACCTCCCAGTAGTTGCCTCCTAAAGTGTTTGCAGCGATCAGCGGCCAGCTCCTCGGGCATTCCTCTGCTGGAGCCCTCCGAGCGCTTGCAGCGACCAGCTGCCGGCCCTTCCCCTCGTGCTCTGCGCACCTGCGGCGCCCGGGCGCCCCTCGCACGCCCTGGCCTGGGGCGCCGCCCGGCCCGCCTCCTGCGAACCGGATCTGGATCTGGCTGCCGGCTGGCGCGGCACCGGCTCCCTCGGGGCTTCCACCTGGTCTTGTGGAAGTCGATTACTGGAGAGGAAGCATGCTGCCAGGTAATTTCCAGATGTCTAGATGACGTTTCAAATCTGTTCTAAATCTGTTCGCAAAAACAGGTTTGAAACATTTTAGAACATGTTTTACACAGTTTTTAGACACGTCTTTTATTCAATGATAGGATTGTTAGAGTGTCCATTGTCATGGCATCCACAACACTGGTCGTCCTCCCCTACCGCGTGATGGCCGCAGGGGTTCACTTCGGCTGGGCCGGGATGGGCGTGCCCCGACCCTGCCAGTGGAACTCTTCGCCCAAGGCGTTCGTGGTCTCCCTGGCCATGTTCTTGCGGGCGCCGGCTTCATCTTGGCAGCCCGCCGCTCCACCCTCGGGCTACCCGATGGGCGGCGCTCCTTTGCACGACCCCGTCGTGCCGGTCATTCCACTGCAGGTGCGGGGCGCTCGGGCGGCTGGTCGCGTCGCTTGGCCTGATGTCCTACCTGTACGGCAAGTTTTGGTCTAGTCGCCACCTCGTTCCCAGGTAATTGCGGCGTCCGCCTCTACCCGCACGGCCTGCTGTTCAACGTGGTTGCCTGGGGTGCGCGTACCTTTCGCCATGGCCCTCCTGGTGCTGCTAGCTCATCTACCCCGCGCTACCTGCTTGCTACACGCCCGCCACTGCGTCGTGGGGTGCGTTCCTCTTCCGCGCCTTTTTGGCTGCGTTGCGTTCCCGCTCGCCCTGTCGTGCTCGTGGTGGGTACGGTCTTCGTCAAGTCCTGCCCGTACGGCAAGGTTGGCGCCCCGCTTCCACCCTCCCTGCGTGCTCTACGGCTTCGGCAAAAATTCCCGCTCGCCCGGGGAAGGGCCTGCTCGTCCTTGCGGCGGTACGCGGTCCCGCGCTGCCGTTCCCGGTGGTGCTCCTCTTCTTCGCGTTCGGCACCGTTTTCGCGGTCTTGGCGCTGCTCCCGCTCCTTCGCCCTCGGCCGCCTCTGAGTTCCGCCTTTTTCGGCGTGTTCGTCGCGCTGCTTTTTCCGTCGCTGGCGTGACCTGCCCCTGCTTGCCCGGCGTCCGACCTGATTCGTACGCCTGCGTACCAACAGATCCGCACCAGCCCATCCAGAAACATATCGCCAGGCGAGATGCCTTAATCAGCGAAGTGAAGAAACATGTAGTGCAACAGCCGCCTTGGAAGTGTTCGCTCGGAGGTCTCTTGGAGCCATCTCGGGTCTCTCTTGGGGTCATCGCGGAGCCACTTTGGGCACTCCTTGGGCCCTCTTGGGGCTCATTTCGGGGGTCTAGGGCCCTCCTGGAGCCCTTTGGGGGGTTTGGGAGGTCTCTTGGGGCCATCTTGGCCCCCGAGGCTCAAAAAGAGAGGGGTAACTGATTCAGGCCCCCCACTTCTTCGGAGGGTAAAAAATCTCATCCTGAAGCCTTCTGTGGCCGTTCTTGGGGCGCTCTTGGGCGCTCTCAGGGCCGTCTTGGAGCTTTTTGGGTTCCCTCTTGGGGCTCCCTTGGGCCATCTTGGGGCCATTCTGGGACCTCCGAGGCCCATTGGAAGCGATGGGGCGACAAGGCAACCATCATCGATTCCCTTAGAATCTTGGAGCCAATTTGACTTCTTGGGGGGCCCTTGGAGGGCTTTGGGGGGGGGGTGATACCATCCCGAACTTGCGTCGGCGGCTATCTTGAGTGTGCCTCGGCGGCTACCTGTAGCCATCTTGAGTTATCTTGAGCCATCTTGGAGGCCGTCTTGGTCTTTAAGGCCCTCCTGGAGCTATCTTAGGCGATTTGGGGAGCTCCAGCGCCTCGCGTCCCCTCCCTCCCGGGCCCAGGGGAGGGGGTAGGGGGAGGGGTCAAGCTTCCCTCCCCGCCCGCAAGCCGTCTCGCTCACTCCCACCCGCCCTCCCGACACATACGTAGCACCCGAGCCTGGCCCGAGCCGCAGCATATTCAGCAGTCGTCTCTGGATGGGCAGCTGCTGGGGGCGAATCCGCCGCCGCCGCCGCCTCCGCCGCCGCCGCCGCCTCCGCCTCGCCGCCGCCGCCGCCGCTGTCCGCCGCCGCCACCGCCGCGCCGCCCGCCGCCGCCTCCGCCGCCGCCGCCGCCGCGCCGCCGCCGCCGCCTCCGTTGCCGCCGCCGCCGCCGTCGCCCCCGCTGCCGAATCGCCGCCGTGCGCCGCAGCCGCTGCCGCCACCGCGCCGCCCGCCGCCGCCGCCACCGCCGCCGCCTCCGCCTCGCCGCCGCCCCCGCCCGCGCCGCCACCACCGCCGCCGCCGCCGCAGCGCCGCAGCCGCAGCCGCCGCCGCCCGCCGCCGCCGCCGCCCAAGTGTATTCTGTTTCATTTTTTGACAAGGATGGTGGGGGGAGGCCGCATCGGGTTCGCTGCGCATGCCCGGATTTGGAGGCATAGTGTTTTTGTTGTTTCTACAAGGGATGGTGGGGGGGGGGGCCGCATTGACTGTGGTTGGCTCCCAGTCGCCTGGGGGAGGGGGTGTGTATTAATAGGGAGCAGTGATCAATACACCCCCTAGATAGCAAGCAACGTAGCTCACTCCCACCCGCCCTCCCAACACATAAGTAACACCCGAGCCTCAGCGTGTTCAGCGGTCGTCTTTGGATTGGACAGCTTCTGGGAACCAGCACCGACCCCATGTGCGCGACGCTCGGGCGAGGTTCGCCCCGCGTGCCAGGCGCGCCACGCGCGCCAGGCAACCCTGGGGCCTGAGCGTGCCAGGCACGCCAGATGCGCCACGTTCTCCGCGTGCGCCAGGGGTGCCGCATACTCTAGCCGCGCCAAGTGCGCCACGTTCGGGCTACGTGCAGCGTGTGTCAGGTGCGCCCGCGCACGTGACAGCGCACGTCGGGGGAAACATGTCGGCCCCCTCCATCCTGGCCGAAAAGCAATGTTTATCATTGTGTTTGGTGTGTCTGCGCACAGCAGGCCGTACGCCACCACCACCCCCGCCATCCTTGTCAAAAAACAGTTGACAGTGATCGCGGGGTGGCCGCGCATGATCCAGATTTAGCCGCGAAAAGCATGTTGCATGGATTTTTGTTAGGAATGGTCGCCCTGCGCACAGCAGGCTATGTGCTAACACCCCCTCCGTCCCTGTTGAAAACAGCGCAAAGTGCTCGCGGGCCCCACGACCACAGTATACTTTGCATGGCTTTCTGACAAGAATGGGGGGGGCGCGGGGGGGCGCATCGGGATGGCCGCGCATGCTCCATATGTGGAGGCAGATTGGGTTTTGTACCGTTTTTTTGACAGGGATGGGGGGGAGGCCCGCATGGTTCCTGGTTGGCTGCTGGTTGCCTGGGGGAGGGGGTGCGTATTAATATGGAACAGTGATAAGCCCCCTCCCCCGAGCAGGGAAGGAGGGATTTTGGCAGAGAGAAGACAAAACTCGTTAAACCACCTACGCCCAGAGGGCTGGTGGGACTCGGAGCCCGAGGTTCGGCCACGCCCGCACAGGGCTCATTTCGATTCCTCCGATTCGATTCGATTCGAATCGATTTTGACGGCTTCGATTCCGAGTCGATTCGACTTCGGATTCCGATTTGGATTCCGATTTTTGAACGGAGGCTTACTAGCCTGCCGATTCCGCCGGTTCGACTTCTCCCGATTCGGCTGCCGATTTCCGCGGATCCGATTCATTTCGATCGCCGATCCGATTTATCGATTCGATTTTGGGCTCTCCTGCGCCCGCAGGACAGACCTGCTGCCTAGCCGGAGGCTCCATCATGCTGTCCATTCCCATCTTCTCTCTCTCTCTCTCTCTCTCTCTCTCTCTCTCCTCCCCCCAAGAGCATAGCGATACAATTATTGGGTGTGCCTTGCGGATTTTCGCGTCAGTTCCTTCAACCTACACGCTATTAGGTGGCTGTTGCACTGCCTAATGTTTTGTCAACTTATTCTTGGGGATCGGCACCTTGGGTGTCGGGCAGCGGGTTGTGGGCGGTGCGTCGACGGGGCCGCGACGCCTTTTCAAGTGCCAGTTGGAGTGTGCTCGCGCTGGCATTTGTTGCGAAAGCTAGCAGCAGTCTTTGCCGCATCTCAGATTCGCCGATCCTCCAGTGTTGGGCAACGTTTCGAGCGTGACTCTGGGCAAACCCCGCTCCTCGTGTCGGGCAGGGTATCAGCCCTTGATGCCAGTCCACGGGCACGTGTGGACTGACACCTGGGTTCGTCATCATCCCCTCCCCCCAGGGCCGCCGCCAACGCGGTGTTGATTATTCGATCCGAAGGGTCGGGGGGGAGTCTGTTTGATTCCAGATCCACCCCTGAGATCTTCCGAAGACACCCTCGGGACGAAGGGAACATGAATACCCAGTGTGAGACCAGCACGCGCAAGCTGCGACTTCAGCGCAGGCTCGCACCCTGACCCAGGCGTGGAACCCAGGGGCGTGTTGTGTTCAACTCTTAGGCAGTTCTGATTGGACGCGCATGCCATCGATCTCCGTTCGGACGACGGGGAGACGGGGATGGCAGATTTCGATACTGCTCCCCCCCCGCAAAGTGCGATTCCCCCCCCTCCCACCTCCTCCCTCCTCCCCCCCTCCTCCCTCCTCCCCTCCTCCCCTCCTCCCTCCCCCCCACTCCTCCCTCCTCTCCTCCACTCCTCCCTCCCCTCCTCCCCTCCCTCCTCCCCTCCTCCCTCCTCCCCTCCCTCCTCCCCTTCTCCCTCCTCCCTCCTCCCCTTCTCCCTCCTTGTCCTCCTCGCCGGGGCCCCGTCCCCCCCCCCTCCCGCAAGGTTGGCTGCATGGACGAGTGCCTCGACCATGGGAGGGGAAGGGGGGCGGAGGCCTGCCGCCGAAGCAGGGGGATTGCTTATGGTGGTGGTGACGAGATGGCGATGACGATGATTTCGATGATGAATGCGTTACTGATGATGATACTGATGCTGATGAGGATGAGGATGCCGATGGTGATGGTGAGGATGACGATGACGATGACGACGACGATGACAATGATGATGCTGATGATGATGATGACGATGATGATGATGATAATGATGATGATGATGATGATGATGATGATGATGATGATGATGATGATGCTGATGATGATGACAATGATGGTGATGGTGATGGTGATGATGATGATGATTAGGATGATTGGCGATAATGATGGTGGTGATGATGACTATGATGATGATGATGACGATGGCGATGATGCTCATGCTGATGCTGATGATGATGTTGATGATGTTGATGATGATGTTGATGATGACGATAATGGTGATGATGATATTGATGATGCTGATGCTGCTGATGATGCTGATAATGATGCTGATGATGATGAGGATGAGGAAGAGGATGAGAGTGAGGATGATGATGCTCATGATGACGACGATGATGCTGATGATGATGGTGCTGATGAGGATTATGATGAGGATGAGGATGAGGATGAGAACGAGAGTGAGGATGATGATGTCGATGCTGACGATGACGATGACGATGATGATGATGATGATGATGATGATGATGATGATGATGATGATGATGCTGCTCTGTTGATGATGATGATGATGCTGATGATGACGATGATGGTGTTGGTGGATGTGGCGATGCTGATTCAGGTGGTGGTGATGATGAGGTTGATCATGATGATGATTATGAGCATGATGATGCTGATGATCCTGCTGCTGCGGCGGATGAGTATGAGGATGATGTTGACGGTGAGGCTGATGATGATGATGATGATGATGATGATGATGATGATGATGATGATGATGATGATGATGATTAGGATTTGACGACGATGAGGATGATGATGTTGTTGTTACTGATGATAATAATGATGATGGTGATGCTGATGATGATGACGACCATGATGATGATTATGATGATGATGTTGACGACGACGACGACCACACTGATGATGATGATACGGATGATGATGATGCTGATGCCGATTACGGTGATGCTGATGCTGCTCCTGATGATGACGATGAAGATGCTGGCGATGATGATTGCGATGAACATGCTGATGATCATTGTACTGATGATGTTGCCGATGAGGTTTGTGCTTCTGCTGCTGATGTTGTTTATGACGAGCGTTGTGCGGATGCTGCTGCTGCGAATGATGGTGATGATGACGATGCTTACGCTACTGTTGGTGATGATTGCGGGCATGGTGACGATATTGATGATGTCGATCATGATGGTGCTGCTGCTACTGCCGCTGCTGCTGATGATGTTGATGATGATGCTGATGCTGCTGATGATGATGATGACGATGCCGATTATGATGATGATGATGAGGATGCGGATGAGGATTCTGTTGCTGATGCTGATGATGATGCTACTGATCATGATGATGATGATGATGATGATGATGATGATGATGATGATGATGATGATGATGACTGTGGTGGTGGTGGTGGTGATGCGGGCGCTGATGCTGATGCTGATGATAAGGATGATGATGCTGATGCTGATGCTGATGCTGATGACGCTGATGCTGATGATGCTGATGATGACGCTGATGCTGGTGCTGGTGATGATGCTGTTGTTGATGATGGTGACGATGATGATGCTGCTGCTGCTGATGATGACGATGATGATCAGCATGAGGATGAGGATGAGGAGGAGGGGGATGATGATGATGATGATGCTGCTAATGATGATGATGATGATGATGATGATGATGATGCTGATTATGATTATGCTGATACTGATACTGGTACACATGATGATGACGACGATGATGTTGGCGCTGCTTCTGATGCTGATGATGATGCTGATGGTGATGATGATGACGATGATGATGTTGATGACGACGATGATGATGATGATGCTGATGATGATGACGACGATGATGATGCTGATGATGATGATACCGATGATGAATATGCTGATGATGATGATGATGATGATGATGATGATGATGATGATGATGATGATGATGGTAATGATGATGATGGTAATGATGATGCTGATGATGATGCTCATGCTGCTGCTGCTGATAATGATGATGCTGATGATGACGATGATGATGATGATGATGATGATGCTGATGCTGATGCTGATGCTGCTGATGATGATGCTGATGATGATGATGATGATGATGATGATGATGATGATGATGATGATGATGATGATGATGATGATGATGATGCTGACGACGACGACGACGACGACGGTGAGAATGCCCACGATGACGAGGAGTGGTGATGAAGATCAGGCAGGGGAGGAGGGTCGACGGGAGGTGACGGTGATACTGCTGCTGATGATGGGGGCGAACCTGGGGGAGGAGGAGGAGGAGGAGGAGGAGGTGAGGAGAGAGAGGAGGGGAGAGGAGGAGGAGGAGGAGGAGGAAGGAAGGAGGAAGGAGGAGGAGGAGGGGGAGGAGGTGGAGGGGGAGGAGGAGGAGGGGGAGGAGGAGGAGGAGAAGAAGAAAAAGAGAAAGAACAATAGCAATACAAATAATAATAATAATTGTAGAAATAAAACGATTAATAATAAGAGTAATCATAATACTACTACTTCTTCTACTACTACTACTACTACCACTACTACTACTAATAATGATACTAGTAATGATACTAGTAATTATCACAACAATACTAATAACAATAATTAGTTCAGTAATAATAGTAATACTAGTATTACGAATCATAATATTAGCAATCAAAATATTAATAATCATAACGATAATAATATTGATCGTAGTAATAATAACAATAAGAAGAAGGAGGGGGAGGGGGGGAGGAACGAGGAACGAGGAGCGATGATCTAGTGAGCGAGGAGGGCGTGGAGGCGGAGGAGCTGGATGGAGGCTGAGGGGGGAGGAGAGCCGAGGGAGGAGAGAGGAGGGAGAGCAGGGAGGGCGCATGGGAGCACTCCGAGCTGCAGCACTCTTGCGCCTGTTCCGTCGCGGCTCTGACCCCACCCCGTGCCTCCGCTCGTGCTCCCTCCTGCCCAGCCCTCCCTCTACCTGGCCTCCCCAGACTCTCCTTCGCCCTTCTGTCTCCTCCTCCGTCCCCTGCCCCCTCCTCCCCCTCTCCTCTTCCCGTCCTTGTCGTCGTCCTCGTCGTCCTCCGCCTCCTCACCCTCCGTCGACGTCCTTGTCGTGCGAGAAGGATCCCGCTCCGCTCTCTTCCGCATCTCCGGAGCGCTTCGAACAATTGTTTGTCGGGCAACACTTTTTTTGACAGGTTGCACATGCTTCAAGATCGCCCACAACTCTGTTGGCAGCGGATCTTCGGTTCCGATCAACGAACACGAGGGCGCGAACGTGAACGCACGCTGCACAATTTTTCGAGCCCCATCCTCTCCGATGTTTTTCGGAGTCCCAGCACCATCCACGACTAGATCTTGTGGGTTTCACTCCCACGAGGCAGGGTCAGCGGCAATTTGTTCTGGGTCCGCCCTGCGAAGTGGATCTAATCTAACCAGTGCAGTCATCCTACGCTACTATGCGTGGCTAACTATCTGGTGATCGAATCTATCGGCATGGTGAGTAAACATGCCAGCATGGTGAATCAGTATCCCAAGATAGGGGAGTAAAGATCCCAACTATCTCGACTACTGGTTGGCCTGCCCAGCATGGTGAGTAACGATCCCACGGATGACGGGCTCTCACCATCCGAGTCGATCGGGAATCGCATGATGATGTCTTGGCTATCCAGGGGTACCCTTTCCAGGCTCTCCTTCTTGCGCGCGGCAGTGCTGACCACCACGGCCGTGGCCGTGGGCACGTCCTGCGCTCCGAGGACGCAGGACCGTGGACCTCTCCCGTGCAGCCCGAAGCTACCTCTCAGTCCCTTGCCTGGGCAGCCCCGAGGTTCGGGGGTGGACAGACCTAACAGTGACACGTCGATTAGTGAATTGTCCGTTTTCGGTTCTCGAGAGAGCGCCGCGGCCGCTATTTTCCAGGCTTGCGCCCGCCAGGTTTGGGCCCGAGGTCGTTTTCACTAAACCACGTTTTACTAAAGGGAGGTCTGTCCATCCCCGAAAAGGTGCACCAATCCCGACATTGGGCCCCGTCGTCACCGCGGCTCTCGAGTGCCAGAGCGCGCCGCGCGTCCTGGAGAGGCTTCTGGTGCCGTGGCGCCTCGGCCGCGCGGAGAGATCACAGACGCCGTCGGCCTCGTGGAAGGTGAGCCAAGGTCGTGCTGGTTGGAGTTGTGGAGGTCGATCAATGGAGAGGAAGCGTGCTGCCAAGAAATTTCCAGATGTCGAAAGACATGTTCCAACCATGTTCTAGACATGTTCAACATTTTTTTTCTTTTTTTTTATTAAATCATTCTTAGAATATGGTTCAAACATTTTCAACAAATCTTTATTTCAATGATAGGGTTGTTAGAGTGTCCAGTGCCATGGCATCCACAAGGTTGGAGGCATCCTCGTAGCCATGACCTGGCCCACTTGCGTGATGCCAGGTGCAGGCCCGTTGCTCAAAGCGGAGGTCGAACCCGCGGGAATCACCAGGCTCCCCCAGCTGAGAGCCCCGACCCAGCGTCAACCCATCCGTTCCATTGTCGGATGCAGGACCTGCTCTCCTGGTCTCTCGTCACTGCCAGCATGGACACTGAACGGCAACGCGTGGCCATTATGTTGCGACTAGGCGGAGCGGCACGAGAGCTCACGAGCTCCATGAGGTACACCGAGCTGACGGAAGGTGGCCCAATCACCAGACCACCAGTGCACGCAGCCACCCACCTGCTCACGGGCATTGCGACACAGTTCGGGCCTTTGGGCGAAGTGATTGGACTTGCAAGCCACGCGCAAGCTGTTCGAGCTCAGCCGTCGCCATGGCGAGACCACTGATGATCTCCTGCAGTCGTTCTAGTGCCTGGGGTTCCGGGCCGCCCGCGACGGCGCTGCGGCAATGAGCTGGAGGCTGGTCCTGGTTCTCGCTGCGCGTGCAGTGAATGCGTGCGCGTCACAGCCCATGATTCTTCTGGAGCGTTGCGCAGTTGGTTGCCACGGCGAGAGCAGGAGTGCAACGCCTCGCCCACCGTGCTACGTCGCATTCGCCCCATCATCGACCAGGCCGCACACAGCATGGGGTCGGCCCGCCGTCTCAGGGGCCTCCGCAAGGCCAGCGACGGCAGCAGAGGTTGGCGCCGACGCCCGGGCCGCGCCGGCCAGGGGCGCTCCGCGGCAGCGGCGGAGGGCTGGGCCCGTGGGCAGCCGGCGCCGTGCAGCCGCGCAGCTCCCCGCAGGGTGGCGCCCCGTGGCGGACGTTTTGCCGGCTGCTGCAAGCCCGCCCGTGGGCGGAGCCGCGCGCGACTCCGGCTTCGGCTCGGCCAGCTCGCCGGGCACCGTGTCAGACGGGGGCGGGGAGATCGATCGGCGGGCCGTCGAGATCGCTGACGCGTCGTCCGTGGGGCCAGCAGCCAGTCGCGGAGGTCGGGCAACGCCGCCAGGAGGCGCTGGCGCGCCGAAATTTCGCTGAGGCGTAGGGTGCCCCACTGCTCGCTGTCCTCTGCGGGGAAAGGGCGAGTCACTGGAGCGAAGCAGATCGCCTTCCTGCGGATGTGACCGTCGCGCGGATCGACGAGACTTTCCACGGAGGGAAACGTCAAGACAAGGGCAAAAGTTCCAATTCCAAAGGAACGTGGCGCCGTCAAGGTCCTTTGGAATATGTCGGAAAGACCTTGCCATGCAGCATGCGCAATGCGGTCGTCCGCTCCATGTCCTCTGAACCTCGGAGGAATTACCTGGCAGTGCTCGCGGTGGGTGCGGAGGCTGCGTCCGCGCCAGCCCTCTTCTGGAGCGGCGTTTCAAGCTGCTGAGGCTGGCGAGCGAACGAGCTAAAGTGCGTTCGCGCAGCGCCAGGGCTGGAGGTTCCTGGCGATTGCCGCAAAGTTGGCTCGCCCAAGGCGCAGGCAGCGCGGGACCCGCTATGGGCCGCGCATCGTCCATAGGGGCGACGGTTTCAGGCCTTTCAGGTCACATGTGCAACCGAGGCCCCTGTGCAACAATCGGATTCTTGCTTGGTCGGGCTCAGGCGGGTTCGGTCATTTGGCGCACCTGCGCCGGCACAGGGCCCAGCAGCGCGCCGCGATGCACCGCCTGCGCGTGGTGAGGGCGCGACGGAAGCAGCTGGCTGCGGCGCCAAGCCAGTCGCCGCACTCCCGCGTCGAGCGTGATGTAGGCACCGAGGCAGTTCGCCAGATGGTCCGCGTCAGCCTCCAGGCTTGCAGGCTGCCGTGCACAGCGACGTCCCTCGCAGCTCCTGGGAGACGCCGCCATGGAGAAGTGACGCATCCGGGAGCGCGATGCAAATGACAGGCGCCTCGCCACGGATCGTGCCCCCGACGCCGCAAGAGGTGTACGCCGAGTTCGCCATGGGGCCCGACGGAAGCAGCGGGGGCCGATGTGCGGGCGATCTGCCCCGGCTGTTTCGATAATCTCGGCCTCGTCGCGCCGCGCCGCCGCGGCCGCCGACCTCAGCGAGGCTGCACCTCCGACGGTGCGGCTGACGGCATCCGCAACCCTGCCGGGAACCAGCTTGCCCCTCTGGGTAGTCGAAGGCCAGACTGTCAGATTGGATTGGGCCCCAAGGGCCAATCTGGCCCGGCCAAACTGGATGATTTGGGTTATCCGCAAGCAGACTGGATTCGTTGGCTCCCTCGCCAGATTGCCCCCGTTTGCCAGATTGGGCCTGCCAGATTGGCGCCAGATTGGCTTCGACTACCCAGCCCCTGGTCGGGGCCAGGTCGCCGCAGATGGCCAAGGGTCCACCGTGCCGGCGAGCGCTGGTCTCTGAAGAGCCGCGCGCGTCCGCGTCGACGCGGCGCCGCTGGGCAGCTCCGCTCCGTGGGCCAGCGCCCAGCCCGCCATGCCGACTGTTCTCTCGGCATGCCGCGCGCCTGCCTCGCCTCGAGCGGAGTGAGACATTCATCCGCGGGAGTATCGCCGCAGGGCCCGCCGAGCGGCGCCACGTTCCGTGGCGGTTGCCCTCTGCGGCCCGCGGGCAGCAGTGAGCCCGACGCCGAGGCAGCCCTGGCCGCTTGCCGCAGACGCACCGGGCCGCCGTCGGGGCAGCTCGGCGTGGTCGCGGGCCCAGGCGCATGGGCGTCCTCGCGGGCGAGCACGCGGCGCAGCTGTTCGGCCGCCGAGCAGCCGAGCAAGGCCGCCGCCCGCGACGCTTCCCGATGGGGGGGGGCCCATCGTGCTTCCACGGCGTTGGCAGCGGCGCTCGGGAGTGCACCCGCTGGGCGCGCGCCCCGACGGCGACCGCAGCCCGACCGCGCCCGTCGTCCGAGGTGCCGGCCGTGAGCTCTCAGGGCCCCCGAGGTCTCTCGGTGGCGACGGCCGAGCCCCACCCGAAATGGGTACTCCGGAGTTCGTAATAAAAGGGAGGGGGGTCTCATTTCGGGGGGGTCTCTTCCAGGCCATCTTGGAGGGCCTGGGGGTGTCTGGGGACGATGTTTTGGAGGGTTCTCCCACGGGGGTGGGGGTCTAAAACTTCTCGTCTGGGAGGGTTGAGACCCCCTCCCTTTTATTACGCAACCTGGAGTACGAAAAGAATGGGTGCAGTGCCCAACAGCAGTTCCTGTGCATTTTGCACAGGACGCGCTGTCCGCGCCGCCGCGGCCTGTGTCCGTTCGAGACAGAAGGCCGCCTGCCCAGCAGCAGCCGCTGTTGGTTTCGGACAGCATTTGTTGTTGGGCATTGTACCCATTGTTTCCGTACCCGTTTCGGGCGTCCCAAGCCGATGGTCCTGGACCGATGGGGGGCGGGGGTGGGGTTCGGATTTCCTCGCGCGCTCGACGAAGTCCGAGCCCCACCCCCGCCGCCCGTCGAGTTGCCGGAGTCGTGGATCGGCGGGGGTAGGGTTCGGATCTCGGCCCCTGAGGTCTCCTGGCAGTCCAGACGCGGGCAGCCGCGAGCAGATGATGCACAGGTGGTGTGGCCTCCTGGCGCCGCGCGCGCCCCAAGGCGCGAGGTCCGTCCTCCTCAGCTCCTCCCAGCTCTCACCTCTCCCCCCTCCTGACCTCCCTTCCTCCCTCCTCGGTCCCCCTCTCCTCTTCGTCCCCCTCTCCGCCTCCCCCCTCCTCCTCCTCCTCCTCCTCCTCCTCCTCCTCCTCCTCCTCCTCCTCCTCCTCCTCCTCCTCCTCCTCCTACTCCTCCTCCTCCCCCTCGCCCTCGTCCCCCTCCTCGTCGTGCCCCTCCTCCGCCTCCCACTCCACGTCCCCTTCTCCTCCTCCTCGTCCTCCTCCTCCTCTTCTCTTCGCTCTCCTCCTCCCCCATACTCGCCCCCATCACCAGCTGCAGTATCACCGTCACCGCCCGCAAGAGAGCGTGGCCTGGCGGCGGCAGGGAGCGGTGCGAGTACTTCGCGTACTCGTCGGTGTCCGAGACCTGCATCCTGTACGAGACCTGCACGTCCTATGTGCAGAGCGACGACGGACATCGGGGAAACGAAAACTGGGATTGAGGCACGTGGGTTAGCGACGGGTCCCGTTCCCGTACTTCATCGGCGCGCCGCGCCGCCGAGTGAAGCGGCACTGCCGCCACGTAGATAGGGGGTACGTTCCCCGATCCGTGGACTTGGCGCCCGCGCGCCAGATCCACGGATCCCAGATCCATGTCAGCGTGCGCGCGAGGACACGAGACCATGCGGCCCAACAAGGTCAGCGGCACCACCCCAGCTGCGGCCCCCCCCCCCTGGTGGCGCTGCGGCCCCTCCGGGCGCGCGTGGCGCCTGCCGCGCAGAGGCCCCCGCCAGATCTGCCGGTAGACGCCCCGCCCCCCTGGGGCCGTGAGCGGGGTGGTGCCCTCTGTGCCGCGCGACGCCGGGCACTTTTTTCCTTCCGTCGCAGCGCGGCAGGGGCAGTGCGCGCGCGCGCTCGAGCGGTAAGGGCAGCGGAAGTAGGGGGCCACATGCGAACCCTACCCCCCCACGATTTCTGAGGGGGAGGGTGGGGTTCACTTCGTTCGGGAGCTCCCGAGCGAAGTGAACCCCACCCTCCCCCATAGAAATCGTGGGGGGTTGGGGTAGGGTTCGCATGTGGCCCCCTAGGAAGGCGCGAATCAAGCGGCGGCAGGAGGGGAGGAAGAGAAAGCAGGAGGGCAGAAAAACACACAGAGGCACCATGGATCGTCGATTCCCCAGAGAATATATGGGAAATGTGGGAGGTGGGGGGGAAGACACAAACCCAGAAGATGTGGGCAGATCTGGGGCATCCTGTCACTGGTGTCTGTTTACTCCAGATTTCGTAATAGAAGGGAGGGGGTCTGGACCCTCCAAGACAAGCCATTTCAGACCCCCCCCCGTGGGAGAACCCTCCCAAACATCGTCCCCAGACCCCCCCAGGCCCTCCAAGATGGCCTGGAAGAGACCCCCCCCCGAAACGAGACCCCCCTCCCTTTATTACGAAATCTGGAGTAGCCGCACCGTCGGAGGTGCAGTCTCGCTGAGGTCGGCGGCCGCGGCGGCGCGGCGCGACGAGGCCCAGACGATCGAAACAGCCGGGGCAGATCGCCCACACATCGGCCCCCGCTGCTTCCGTCGGGCCCCATGGCGAACTCGGCGTGAACGTCGGCGAAATGAGACCCCCCTCCCTTTATTACGAAGTCTGGAGTACTTGTGTGGCCCAGGGCCCCTTCAAGACGGTGCGGAGGCGGCCGCGGGGCGGCAGGATGGGGGCGGCGAGGGCGCGCGCACACGGCCAGCCAGGGAGCGACGACGGGCGCGCGAGGCCACGGGCTTTTGTGTAAATCGAGGCCTCCTCGGTGGGGTCCTCCTCCTCCTCCTCCTCCTCCTCCTCCTCCTCCTCCTCCTTCTCCTCCTCCTCCTCCCCCTCCTCCTCCTCCTCCTCCTCCTCCTCCTCCTCCTCCTCCTCCTCCTCCTCCTCCTCCCCCTCCTCCTCCTCCTCCCTCCTCCTCCTCCTCCTCCTCCCCTCCTCCTCCTCCTCCTCCTCCTCCTCCTCCTCCTCCTCCTCCTCCTCCTCCTCCTCCTCCTCCTCCTCCTCCTCCTCCTCCTCCTCCTTCCTCCTCCTCCTCCTCCTCCTCCTCCTCCTCCTCCTCCTCCTCCTCCTCCTCCTCCTACTCCTCCTCCTCCTCCTCTCCTCCTCCTCCTCCTCCTCCTCCTCCTCCTCCTCCTCCTCCTCCTCCTCCTCATCCTCCT